AGACATGAAATATCTGAACTAACCAACTTTGTATTTTTTCCCATACCGTAACACAAACCCGCCAAGCCAGACATGAAAGAGCTGAACTAACCGACCTTTTATTTTCCCATAAAGTAACACAAACATGACAAGCCAGATATGAAATAACTGAATTCAACGAAATACATTTCCAGACGCTTACCATTTTTTTTTTTTTTTTCACAGTTGAAAACGCAAAAGTAAGCAAGAGTAGAAGGTTATTGGCCACCTTACACACCAACACGAAAACGGAAACGAAGCATAAATATAGACACAGCAATCCTTTTGGTCAACTGTGCGATGCACATGAAGGTTGGGGACTCGTGGTGAGATAACAGCAAAACATTACCGGTTCCCATGGGGCGGTGGGAATCTGGTCAGACACTATCCTGAATTCTCCGCAAGGAGAGGGGTGGATAATGCAAGACAAAATGTCAGACCTAACATACTCAAGAACCTTGTTTTCAAATGACCGACCAAATGACCCAAAAGAGAAGGAGCACCAAGCGGTACGTAGATATCTTGAAGCTTGAAGGATAGACGCGGGTACAAAGTGTGGGGGGATTGTTGGTCAAGCTTTCGGCAGCGAAGGTCTACTCGGGAGCGTTAGTGGGGTAGCTACCCATGGTGTACCGTACAAACGTTGATGACCGTAACTCATTTATCAACCCTGGGTCGACTTAGACCGCCATCAGGGAAGATAGTGCTCTCTGGCGTCTACCAGGAGGAGATTTTTATGTTTGTATGTCATAAAAATCAAGGAAGAGACGGACATCCCGATGTGTGAGTGAGACCTTCTGTTATGCAAGCCACCCTTGAACCCTACATGGGGAAAATGACCTCCCCGGAGGAAAGTACCCAGTACAGCAGCTGGGGCAAGTAGAGAGAAGATACGGTCGTGGGACGCTTGGGTTGGTTACCATGCAGATCGCCTGGCACAAACTTGGGGTACTTGTGCTAAGGGTGATAAACTTGGCTCCAGGCTATGAGCCCATGTTGGAGGCACTTTTTAGTGTCGGTGAGCCGGCAAAAGAATTGAAAGACACCAGACCCTCAACAAGTACTAGGATTGGGAAGTCCCAGTAATTTGAAAGCATCCCACTTCAAACAAAAACAACGAGATAGTCTCGAAAGAGATAAGGAGGGAGACGACAAGGCACAAAGGGTGGAGAAGGAGAGAATGGAAAGGTGCAGTACTGGTAGTGTTGATATTTGGGGTCAATAACGACATGACAAGGTTGGAGTTCAAAAGTATATGTGAAGAAGTAGGATTATATTGCTTCGCACGGGGGGGGGTAGAAAGGGAAGGAAACCACTTTAGAATCACGTTTGGAAGGAGAGTAAGCGCAGAATGGGAAAGACTGGAAGTAGAGAAGATGTCGGCGTGGGTGAGGAGACTAGGTTGGAGGGTGTGCATAGCAAATAAGATCCAGGAAGTAAGGCGTAGCCCAAGGCTGGCTGAAAACAAAGGGGGGCAGGAGGTTCGAAATGATCAAAACGGAAAGCAAGCCAAAGTAGGGGAAGGGGGGAGCAGCGAAAGGATAAGGCAAAGGGGAAGGCGAACGAGGGACAGAAGGAATCCTGAAAGGCGCGGGAAAGTAGAAAGTAGGAGTAAGGAAATCAGACTAGGGTCTTGGAATGTATGCGGGTTTGCCACAGATGAGCGTAAAAGACTCGAAATTGCCGAGCAAGCAGCCGAAAAAGACCTGGACATAGTCGGAGTCCAAGAGTCGTGGGAGAAGGACGGGGGAGAAATAGGAAAAGAAGTGGGAAGCTACACATGAATAGGTAAAATGCGGAGAGGACAGAAAATCAAGAGTAGAGGGGAGGGGGGAGTTGGATTCTTAGTCAAGGTGCACATGTGCGACGTAATTTGAGGTGATCAGCGACACCAAATTCAACGAAAGCACGCGGATAAGGGTACCAGGGGAACGGGGAAGGAAGGACTTGTTCGTAGGAAATGTATATATACCACCAGAGTCGAAGAATATGGTGAAGGACATCAAGATAGGGTTCGAGGAGGTAGCAGCGGATGTACAAAACTTCAAGAGAAAGGGAGAAGTAGTTTTAGTTGGGGACTTCAATTCAAGAATCGGGCGAACGACGAACCCACACTGAGCCATCGGGCAACATGGGGAGGGAGCCACGAACAAAAACGGGGAAGAAATGCTGAGGTTCCTTGACAGTAGCGAGATGAAGGTGTTGAACGGTAGAGTACGAAAGACAGAACCGGAATGGACTAGGCAGTGTTTCAAAAAAGGAGAACGCTCCATCCTTGACTACATAGTCGTAGAGAATGGGGGGAAAGAGACGGAAGTACGAGTATGCACAACGGATGTAGGCACTACAGACCATGCGTTGGTGTGGACAGCCCTACAACAGACGAGAGTCATACAGAGTAGGCGACGCAGGAAAATGTACAGATGGAGAATAGATAAGCTAGAAGTAGAAGAAACGAGGGTAGAGTTTCAAGGAGAGATGGCTGTAAACGACAAGAAACTCTCGGAGTTGATAGAGGCAATGGGCACACCGAAGGATGCCAAAGGTCGGGACCAGGCCGGATCTAGAATCATAGAAGGGTGGGAAAAGCTGGTAAACACAACGACAAGTAGAGTTCTCGGCAGAAAGTTGATAGTTTGTAAGAGAGCAGTGAAGTGGTGGGACGAAGAAATCAAGCAAGCAATTCGAGTACTTAGAGAGTCACACGCAAATGCGGCAGGGAAAACCGATGCAGGATGGAAGGAGTATGTTGAAAATAGAAAGAGGGTGAAGGAGTTGGTGGTGAAGAAGAA